ATGAAAAGATTTTTTGTAACTCAGAAGGGAAACGGCATTTAGTGCCATGCAGGAAGTCTTGGCTGAAGTTGTCTTGATAGTTTTTGAAATGACATAAATGTGGTCCAGGACAAAATAAGCACTGGGTACTTTGGACTCATGGTGTGTGTGCCTCAGCACCTGCCTGCACCTGGGAGTTTGGGAGTTTCAGGGTTGTGTAGCAGAAAAAATTCTGAAAGCTTTTCTGCACTTGAAACACTGCGAAACACATTATTGCCACTCCAAAAAGGATCTCAATGCCTCTGGGTTTTGAGTGGCCCTTTCAAGAGCCCATTCTGACCTCAGCCAGGTGCTGCCTTTCCTTGTTGCTGAGATTGACCCAATCTGAGGAGCCATGCAGCACAGACCCTGCTGCAGGACATGGGCAGGGAGCAGGAAAATCAGCTGACACCACAGCTGAGCTGGCTGTGCTACAGCCATGACTAAGTGTGAAAGTCTGTCTCATTTAAAACCTTGGTTATTGTTTCCCTAAGCTAAGACTCAATTGACAAATTGTATTTAAACATACATACTTGCCAAATTTGACAGTGAGGTATCTGCTTCCTGAAGAACCCAAGAGACCTCCTATGCCAAAGATGGACACAGTGATGGACCACAGGAACAAGAGGTTATCCTGTTGGATGGGATAGCCATAGCGCTCCAGCCAAGTTTCATTAATGAAAGCCTTAACATGCTGAACAGAAAAAAAAAATCATTAACAATACCTGTATCAGAAGTGCAGGTTTTTAATTATATTTACAAAATAATTTTGTTGCTTCAGCTGAAGTTACTATTTCACATAGGCTTTAAAAGTGTGAATTAGCTAACAGACATAGTATAATAGGAGTGCTATGCTCATCAAAAGTTCAATCCCAATCTTTGGGTTTTTTATCCTTGAAATCTGAGGAAGCAAGGTATGGACTGGTACTACAGAAAAGTGTAAACAGTACTACAAAGTTCTGCAAATGAGTTATGGGTTTTCTCTCACATACCTGCCAAGAATGCTACATTACACAGAACCTGTTCAGTGCAATTCCTAAATACTTCTTCACTCAGAACTTAGTGCTCTGAAGATGGAAAATCATGCTTTTCCACTAAGATGATGTCCACAAAATAATGATGTCTTCCCTCTAGACATCAGTGCCCTTAATGGAAGTTTTACCTGGGATTAGTGGAGAGAAGCAGACATTTTCCCAGAGCATGGCTCACTTGTTCTATTTTTCTGTGAGGATGGATAACCATAAAAATATCAACTGAAACCACTGGAGAAGGCAGATGTGCTGTAAGGTTTTAGGGGAGACAGATGCCACCCTAGTTAGTGTGCATCTTCAGAGGAGCAGTTCTATTAACAACAGCTTGCAGATCTCTCTTCTGTTTGCAACACTTTGACATGCTCTGCTCTTCATGATAGCATAACAAAAGGGAAATGAGAGGAGAATACTGTGATTAAACCCTTTCTGAATGGCAGAGGAGCAGCCTCAGGCAGCAGTGGAGACTCAGTGCTCTCATTAACAGTGTGCCATGTGCATCTTTGCCTACCTGAGACATGTAGGTGATGGTAGAAATTTGAAAGCCAATCTGGAACGTGCCACCAATCCCCAGGACAGTGATCATTCGAAAGAGCCCCTTGTACTGTACCTGCAGAAGCAGAACAAAATCTTCTTAAGGTTGTAGCCACATCAGGCTGTTCTCACAATCTGTCCTTCATTCTCCAGAAACATCTCATTTGTTGAGGGGATTTTCAGGTAAGAATGTTCCCTCTGCTTAGCCTGGTGTGAGATGTACATCCTCCTGTGATTTCCCTATATCCAACTCAAGGAAGTGCAGCTTCCACAAACATCCTTGTCAAGGCACCATGGCTGCTAGCATCCACTCCTGTTCCCTGCCTCCCAAAACCTCTGCCTGCCATGCCTTGCACTAAATAATTAGATGCATTTAGAAATGCACTTTTATTTTTTACCAGGTAAGCAAGTCAAATTATATTTCTACATAAGCCAGTATTTTCCAGTCCATGAAAACATTTAAGACACAGTAATGTATTGATAAAAATGTGGTAAAGATGGATGCCAAGCACACAAAGTGCTGTAATACCTCAGAATAGTGGGCAGAACCACTTGCAAGATGCTTGTAGTGAACAGGAGCCTTGTTCTTACCAAGACACCGATTTTGTTTTCTTTGAAGCCCCAGGAGCACACAAAAATGTCACAGATGTAAATACCCCACCAAATACTTACCAGGTTTGATAAGAAACCGGTCATCTCTGGCTGAGGGCTGGCTGTCCAGCGTGTGATGTGTCCTTGTCATCACAGGCTTGTGTCTCTCTGTCTCCCTCCTGCTGCTCCAGCAGTGGGCATTTGGCTTCAGGGTTAAATCAGAGTTAAATTTTTACTATTCCATCTTCACTCACTTATATTTACTTCGACTGGCCAAAGTTAACACTGCCAGATTAAATATTTCAGGAAATAATTACATCTAGTACAGTCTCCAGGGGGAAAGTTTCAAAGCAGAGAAAATTTGTATCTGGGGAGCAGTGAGGGCTTTGGGAAGGGAAACTTCAGGCAAAAAAATCCAAATAGTTTTCCAGGATTAGTAAAATGCTTTACTTCTATGATATAGACTGGTTTTTATCTCTGCTTTCATGCAGAAAGCAAAAAGCAGCTGGTACAAGGTTTAGCTACTGTCATTTAGTAATAAGTAAAATATATAGTGTTTTGTTTCAGATTCTTTGATAAAGTAAATGTCATCATTAGAAGAAAAATATGCAAATTTCAGAGGCTAATTTTGCTGTTCTGGCCTTATGAATCAGTTAGGCTGTGCTGAGGGAGGGTATTTGTTGTCTGGTGTTTATGGGGATGTTTGTCAACCAGGTGTGGTGAAAAAGCAGTAAGAGACCAAGACTCATGAAAGTTGTCAGAGAAGGTGAAATGCCCTAATGAATTGGGATAGCACCACTGGGATCTCACTCCCTCAGGTTTCAGCTTTGACACAGATTGGCTCCAAAATCAGCATTGCAGGGATTGAAAAATCACCTTTGATTCCCAGAGGCTCCTTTCTTGTGAGGTAAAGCTCAAACTGTAGCTGTGTGTAGAGGCAACACTTGGAAAAAGAGCTTGGTTTCAGTGAGGATTTCAGGAGTGGGTGATGCCCTGTGCTCTCCTGGTGGGGGCAAACGAGGCAATGGGGTTATACTGAGACACTCAGTACATGCTCAAGCTCACCCTCAGGACTTGTACTTTCAGTTTATTAAACACAGAATGCAATTATTTACAGAGGGGCTCATTGCAAATCCTGTGAGTCTAAATAAATGACAAAAAAATGCATGTTAATATTAAAACCTTGGTTACTTGTGCAATTCCAACTATTGTCTGTACAACTGCACAGCAAATGCCTTTTATCCTGGCTGGCAAGAGTGTTTAGAATGATTTGGCATTTTTTGTATTTTCTCTTCAACACTGACATTGTAACTATTTGCATTTGTCTTGGCTTGTTTCAAAATGTTAATGTTTCCTATTCATTATGTATTTTTTCTCAAGTTGTAGTGAGATGTAGGGAGGCTATGTCATAAGGATTCACCCCTTGAAAGCAGTTACTGAGGACCTCAAATAGCAGCAAATTCCACCAGCTCACAGTGAAATTTCTCTTACATTTTGAGGGATTTCTGGTGATTCTGACCCATGGTACTATTTCACCTTATTAGCAATTTCAGGAGAATTTCATTCTAGGAAATTGCTTCTTGGATTTTTGTCAAGTCAATGAAATGGACCATTTCTGTTGAAGATGCCCCTATATTCTCGAAAAAGCCACTACACTGGAAGTTGTGCATGGTTTCATGTTAAAAAAATTATTACTGAGTTAAGGAGATCTTGTAATTATTCTTTTTATAGACCTGTAAGAAGGGCTTGCTGTGAAATGGGTAAACACATGAACCCCACCTTCATGAGGTGTGTCAAACAGTTCTGTGTAAAGTTGTTGGTTCTAAGCCAGCCTGAGCCACACTGGACTGCTCATTGTGGATGACTGAAGCCATCTGCAGTTTAATTCCACACTGAGAGAAACTCAGTAGTTTCTTTTAGATTTGTTATGGTTTTGTTATAATCCAAAACTCAAAATGAAATTCTGAAAAACAAAATCATGGGGACTGGAACTAAAAGAGATGTTTAGGTACAAGACACCTTCTTATCCTAGCACATATTTCATGTTACAATGACTTGTTGATTGTTGACTGCTCTCACTTTTTCAAAGTGATGTGAGAGTGGCTCTCATTCGTGAAAATTCCATTTGTGTCTGTGAAAAAATATTGGTATCTTTTCCCATAAGAGAAAACAATAATTTGCCTTTGTTTTGTAGTCTACAAGCATTGAGGTTTTTTATGACCTTAATATATGATCTTTCTGCTGGCCAGTACCAGGGGTACTTCCTCAAGAGAAGTATTTCCTGCAAAGGAATGAGGTCTCTTCCTAAAATCTAACATGCCAAATTCTTTGGTTATTTTCATAACAAAGTTTTCCTTTGGAAGGAAAAGGAAGATGAAGATTTTGAGCAGATCAGGGTCTCAGTAAAGATAAGGAAGGACAAAGAGATGAGGTTTTCCTGTAAATAAATCAAAGAAGACTTTATTTTATTTTTTTCGCTCCTCCTTTTCCAGCATTTTGAATATGATGGCAATGAAAGCAAAGCTTAACTTCATGAAATCCAGTTTATTTGGTTACTGTGACATGATACACTCCAGTCTTTAGGTGTGAAACAACAATATAAATGAAATAGTTACAATTTTCTTCTTTCCTGAAGGCAAGATAAGTAGGGTGAGCAGTCAAAATAATTTGAGATGTCACTTGCAGAGTTACAAGAGAAAGGCCTTGGGATAGGATTAAAACAACTCACAAACATTAATACTGGCAGGTTAATAATCTACTCTGGTTTATCAGTAACTGCAAGAGATGCAGCAACAGTGAGCATTTGGGAGAACAGGCCTCCTGTGGTATTTGTACTCTTCCTGGTATTTGTATTCTACCATGTATTTATATTCTACCAGGTATTTGTTCATGGGCAACATTCACAAGCAATACTAAGTCCTTTACAGTGTGATAGCATAAAGAAATGACATGAAAATTGTTTGCAAGAACTATGGCTATGTTTAATCCTATCTTCATGCTGCTCTTAATCCTGAGCAGAACTTCTTTATAAAGTAAGAAACATAGACACAAATCTTGCTGCTTTAAAATGATAACAATGGAGAAAAACTTGAAATACAATTGATGTGTTATGCCTGAGCAGTGGAAATTATTTATGGTGGCTTATCAGAGCTTGGTGCAAAATGTCTTTTCTTCAGCAGCATGCATCTCCACAGCCTGATGATGTTTCCTCTTAAAAAACTGGCAGGTTTTGAAGTTTTCTGTGATTTCAGAGGTCGACTTCCCTTTTGTTTCTGGGAGAAACAGGTAGATAAGAACCGCTGAAATGATCAGGACAACAATAAAGATGAGGAAGCAAAAAGGACCAAGAAGCATCTGGAGATAAAAAATAGAACAAGATGAGTGATTTCCTTGGCAATCCTTGCCCCTAGAGATTCTTGAAACTTGTTGATTTGTTCCTGTGAAATAAGGAATAGGCCTATTTTACAGAAACAATATTTATTTATCTTTTCAATCTGTTCCTGGAGCAGCAGGTGGTTTCTGAAGTATTGGAAAATGTTTTATATAAATGGCCTCCATATGCCACAGCAATAAGGGATTCACAGTTTTGATCATCTACAAGTCATTTCATCCTACTCCCTGTCCAGCTCAGCCTAGAAATCCAGATTAAACTGACAGTCAAAGAGAAGACTTGAATCAAATTACATACTACAGCAAAGGGGAAAATCATTCCAGTGAAGGTGAGGCCTAGCCAAATGATGATTCCACCAATTACAAAAGCAGAGGCTCTTGCTGAGAGGGTGAAGATTTCATTCATGACAGACACAACAGCTCCAGCTGAGGAAAAAAAGAAACCCAACATTAAAAAGTGATAGAACCACTGTTGTTACTGACCATTTCCCACAGAAGATACCTCAGTTCTGCTACTGTGGGAATTCTGCTGTGTATTCAAGACATTCGTGGTTGTCAGGTACAATACCAAAGGCTGACATTTGAATTTGGAGACTTTAATAACTACTGGTAGCGTTCAGACAGAGAACTTCCAGAGTAAATCCTGGTCTTGGGTGAGTGAGGTTCTACCAGAGAGCTGTGAGTTTGGGTCTGGTGCTACTGATGTAGGTGATTAAGGGTGATACTAAGAGAGGACAAGCAAGGACAGAGCAGTGCTAAGAGACAGATTATGCATGCTCTACTCCATAGAGTGGGATTTTACAGGTAAACTGAGAAAACCCTGGGATTTTAGAAAAGCCTATCTCTGCCCTTTGCCATCTGAACCTGAATGCACTGAACAGTATGCACACCACGCTAAACAAGTCTTCATGAACTGACTAACAAGAGTTTATTTGGTCTGAACCTGTAATCCAGTGAGAGAAAACAGGGTCCTGATTCATCTGGGTGTGAATAATTTCTTAAAGAAATTGTTTCTTGGGTAATTAATTCATCAAAAATTGAGATTCCCTCAATCTCAGTCTCAATTAAGCAGTTGATTTTCAAAGATATACTCACACTTTCTAGGTCCACTTCTATACATTCATGGCCTGCATTTATCCCTGTGGTCCAAGATTTCCTGTTGCTTTTATTGCAGTACTCACCTGGTCCTATTCCATAAGCAATGATGAACAGAAAGATGAGAACAACACTGCAGTAACGCAACCAGAGGAACTGATCCTGACAAAGGAGAAGGGAGGGAAGAGAATGAAAATTAATTTTATAACTGTAACACAGCTGATCCAAGCACAGGAGCAGCAATATTTGTGAAAAAGCCCATAATGCTCTCTAGACCTGCTTATCTTTCTTTACTGACCACAGTGGAAGGCCAGAAGCAGCTCGTGGTGTCACATCTACAGAGGTGAGCTTGTATTTAGAAGACATTCTAAATTCATTCACCACATTCTGCTGGTTTGGACATGAAAGCTAAGGCTCACAATCTCTGCACAGAGAATTCTGATGCAGGTCCATTCCTGGAGAGACATTTGCTTACACTCAGCAGAAGGCTCGTTTCAAGCAACACCAGGATCAGTGCCATGAGCAAATAACCACCACACAGGAGCGTTCGGCGTCCAAACCGATCGATTATGGAGCTCTGAGAAATAGAAAAAAAATGCCTGTCACTGGAAGTATGACAAAATCCAACAAATCAAGCATTTTCCTTGAGTTCTTTTTACTTCAGAGAACACAAATCTTATTGGTACCAACTTTGTTATATTATTGAATTCCTTCTACACTCTCTAATACCATGAATTACCATCACTGCTCAGCATAGCAGCTACATCACAAACACTGCAATCAATGGAAGCATGTTACAACTCCATTTGAATGTATAGAGATACACAAATAGATTGAAATAAGTACACAGGTTTATGTTTGAATGACACTTTGTGAGGGATTCTTATAAGAAATTAAGATGAATGAAGATGGGATGAAACACATGAAAGCTGGGACACAAGTTGCAGTGGATGGTAACAACAACTGTACAGATTTATGCAGCACCACAGAAAAATTCTTTGGTTCATAAGGAGAAGATTCATTTGCTTCAAGGAAGAATATTTTAATTCTTAAACCCCCAGGAAGCTCTGACTTACACAGAATATGATAGAGATGAGTTCAGAGATTGAAACTCCTAGAGATACATATGGGATTATGCTTTCCTGCAGGTTGGCTGTCCGAAAAATTTCTGAGGTGTAAAAGGTGATCTGGGGAATAAGAAAAGTAAAGCACAAGTAATAGATGTCATATGTGCTTATCCAGCATCACTTAAAACTAGATTTGTCATCTCTGCAAAACCAGAAATACATTATTGGGCCTTAATAGAGTAACATAACTGCTCCAGATGTGAGAAATCGAAAGGGTAATGGCAATCAAGGAAATGGATTTGTAAGGAAAAAAAAAAAAAAAAGAGAGAAAGAAAAAGTGGAAAAGAGTGTATTGCCTGCAGGACATGGGGAAAAGGTGTTGTTTTGGAGAAAAGGAAAGGGGCAAGACAAGGGAAAGAAAAGCAAATGTCAGCCTTAGCACAGCATACATTGTCAAGCCAACAGCTGGTTCTGTTGCCCTTTTCCAGCTGCTAAACAGAAGCTGCTGATCTGCAGAGTCCCTGAGGGAATGGCACCATTCCCCTGCCAGCAGAGTTCCCCCTGCAGGGAGAATTCCACTGCTGAACACAGGCACAGGCTGAACCAGGGCCCCTGGAGACAGAGCCCCAGACAAGTGATAACACAGAGGGGAGTGACTGCCAGCTTGGGCTGGAGGTTACTGAAAGGATAAATGTCCTTTCTCAAGTGCAATTAAACTGGATGGCAATAGCTGGTCACCTGCTACTGGAGAAGTCAAAGAAAGCAGTGCTGGGTTGCTGTAAGCCTTAGGACACTTGTAACCCTTTCCTCTACAAATTCCTCGTTGTACCACCAGGGGAATGAAGGCAAACAGTGCCCTTGCAGGAACTCTGGCTGAGTTGGAGCTCTTGTATTCCCACCTGAGATGCTCCTTAAAGGTATGAACAATACTGGGATGATACCACAGGTGTCAGGCAGTGAACTCTGTGTGAGGAGGAATAATGGAGACCCAGAGGAAAGGGACAAGTTGGCATTGTGGCACTTTGGAGACTTAACAGCAGATCCAAGCATGGAAATAGGGCATACTCAACTGCACTCATGCCACAGAGCTGCAGACTCAGCAACAACAGGAGCATGGTGCACAGCTGTGGGTACACGGATCGTTCTCGCAGCACCTCCAGGACATTCATGATTTTGGTGCCTTTTGTTATAGCCTTTTCCTTCATCAAGTCATCAAATTCTGTGTGATAATTGCCTTCTCCCCAGAGCTGCTTCATGGCTACAAAAGAGACAGAATGAGGTATACTCCTCCATTATTTGATCCACTCACAATTTTGTGTTTTTCAGCTTTTAATTATGCTAAACATTTGCAATTGAGTCCATGCTTTGATTCATCAGTTACTGAGCGAAGGACTAGAAGGAACAGCACTTACTGGAACATGGTGGAACTTCCCTGGAAAATGCTGTAGCAGTTATGGGTAGATCTTAAATGTCTCTGATGACTCTGCTTGGTCTGGAGGACTTTAATCATGTAATTATCAAGAAATCTGTAGCTGGCTAATAGAAAAGCCAATTGCTGCTGTTAGCTTCACTTTCTCAAGAGTTATGATTTTAAAAAAACTAAGGACCTAAAGTTTTATTTTACCTTTCAAGCAACCAGCTTTGTCTTCTTTTTGCAGCAAGAGATAGGGCGGGGACTCAGGAAAGAATGGCAAAAAGAGCAGTTGAATCAATGCCACCAACCCAGAGAAGGACAATAGCACGTTCCACATGTCTTCAGTTCCTAAAAGATCTCTGTGAAGGCATGTTAGAATCTATTTATAGTCCAGTAAAATTGCAGTTTATAACTAAATTGGCATTTTCTAAATTCTAGGCTAGTTAAAGGGGCACAAAATACATACAGTCATTGAAAAGTTGAGTTGAAATAGATGATGTATATGTTAGCGACAGGAAAATTGACTAATACTTTATTCCTTCTGCAAGACTGACATTTTTCTTGGACTTTTAATTTCTGAAGGTCAGAATATTCCCACAACAGCTCTCTGAACCAACACTGCAACTCTGCATGAAGTTATCAATAAATTAGCAAAACTTTCAGATCTCATAAATTTACTAAGAGAATTTACATACAATCTTCTTATTAACTTCAGCAGAGAGACTGCACCTCCAGAGATGGAGTCATCCTTTCCCAAGAGAAAGGCCTTTCTCTCCCCAGGGTATGACATGGAAACCTCAGTGACTTGTATGGGGCAAGATGCCTCCTCTTTGACTGCTGCTAAGCAAAATAAAACCCCACCTTGGGGTATGTCTGTTTCTAGGACTGGGAGAACACCACTTCCCTGCTATACAGAAGAAAAAGAAATATAAAACAGGCTGAGAAGGAGTAGCACAAGCACCTTAATCCAAGAATTCTCGCTACAGTTTTTCCTAGTGCAAGAAACACTGTGGAGGTCACATTTATAAATCCACGTAACTTCTTAGGTGAGATCTCTCCAGCGTACTGAACATGGGCATTCATATGTATTCCTAAAGGGAGGAGAGTGTTAAAGCTGTGGAAAGAAAGAGAGAGGCTCCCTTTTCAGTTCCCTTTCAGCTCTTTCCTCTCTCTTCTGAGCCCTTTCCCATATATCCTGTGCAATACTGGGCTGAAAGCGTACCTTTCACTTTAGAGGTGTTTAGCTGATCCATCAGACCTCTTGAAAGCAAAGCACAGCTCATCTTACCTTGCCCCATCTGTTCCTTGTTCCACTGGGTTACAGTGCATTCCTGGGTACTCCCAGCAGGAAGATTTCTGTATCCACCCCAAAGAGGTCACATTAGCATGGGGTAGTGGGGAGCCCTACCAGCACCGATGCCCTCAAGGAAGCGGCCAGCCAGGATCATCTCGAAAGCCTTGGCTCTCCTACTGAAGCCAGTGAGCAGCGTGGCTGTAATTAGCAGCAAGTCGTTGAGCAGTAGGCATTTCTTCCTGCAACAGTGAACAACACTGGGTATGATCCATCTTTTACTTTTTCTTCTTTGACAAATGTCTGATTCTTCTCCTCTGGATTTACAGACTGAAGCCATGGCAGTGTTTAAACCCATTGCTTATAGAACAAGCAAATCTGGTAATGAAAAGGTGTGATGTCTTTGCAGAGTAGCAGAAAGGGAAAAGCTAGATTCCTCTTACTCACTGTGTGAGCAAGCCATGAAGCTGAAGGGAACTCCTGCAGGGTAAAATGTCAGCAAAAATATGGGAATTATACATCAACAAAAGCTGTGACAAGGGAATCAGAAATATCTGCATGTTCTTGTCTCTCCAATACACCCAGGTGCAGTTTTATGTGCTAGGTAAATTCTGTGGCAGCAGGGGGCAGTGACATTCTGGTATCCCTTCTATTAGATGAATAATATTTAATAGCTTCTCCTGTTGCAGCCCTGGGTAGAGAGATGTTGGGAAATGTACTTACTTTCCAAATTTTGCAGCCAGGTACCCACTACACAGACACCCTATCATCCCACCCATGCAGTACACCGACACGATGAGGGACCACAGTAGCATCAGGGTCTCCTGAGGCAGCACAGAACCGTATCGCTCCAGCCAAGTTTCATTGATAAACTTCTGAATGTACTGGGACAAAAAAGAGATTTTCATTTCACCAAGGCACTTCATAATGTTCTTCATAATGTTTACAATTTAAAAAAATTAGATTAATAGTCGTGACTAAAAACGTGACTATAGGACATTTGTTTGCCATTAAGGATTGATATTTCCTCTCATACAGCCTAATAGTGTACAAGCATCTTTCAAAAAATAATTCTACTCTTTAGTGTGTTGAATCCTACCTCTCCTACATCAAAAAATTAGGACCTTACATTTATTATAATAAAGTGCAAATATTCTTGTGGTCAGTGATGGATATAAAGAGAAAAGGGCTGAGCTGAAGGCTGACTCCACCAGCTAGTTTTGTTTGTTTTTTTCCTCTATGGCATAAACCTAAGGAGATATCCCAATATGTTGTTTCCACAAAATTCTCTGGGAATTTGTCTTTGGAGCACAGCTCCTTGCAATGATGCAAACTTTGACATTGACGGTATGGCACTGGAAACAGCTGGGAATAAATTGATACAACAACACCTAAGAGCTTTTAAAGTGTAGGGCGTAAAACCATGAGCAACAGTTAGAGATGGGATTTTGTTTTCTCCAGCTTTGCCTACCAGAGAAGTGTAATTGATCACAGACATTTGAAAACCAGAGAGGTGGGTTCCACCAATTCCCAGCACCACAATCATTAGCCATAGCCTCCGGTATTGAACCTGCCAAAGAGAGCAGAACACATCCTAAACTCCTGATACCAGCATGCCTTTCAGACCATGAGATAATTTACAGGACCTTAGATCTTCACGTTTCTATGACTCTAATTTTACAATAATCATGCAAAAGTCATTTGTTAAATCGTTAAAATACAAATCTGCACATTCTGCTATGTTCCTCTCCTGGTTATTAGCTGTCTGAAAAGATACATTCTCTAATTCTGTTAGTTCTGCTAACCACAGAAAACAAAAAATCATAAAAGCCTTTTTGAGACCATTTGTGTTTAACTTTGTACTTCTTTCTAGAAGCTACAGTTTTCTTGAACCCCATTTTGCTTTCACCTTTGCCTCCTCAGGGACAGTGTTTACCATTTTCCAGAGATGACTCAAGTCTGTCCTCTCCAAACTTTTTTATTTTACATTTCACTTTTATCATTCCTGTATGAAATGACATTTTGAGGCCCTATCTGAACTCCTCCTATTGGAAATGCTGTGTTTCTATGATATACACTGAATTTCAGAGCATTTCTCACAAGCACTTACTTAGGTCACACAATTGAGTATCCTCAATTGTCCTTGAGAGTTGAGAGCAGTAGAGTGGGAGAGTTTTTTGTGTTTTGTGTTTTTCACTGATACTATGTTCTCTATCTTCCCCCAAATTCCCATCTTTCCTGGTTTCCCCAGTCCTCTTTTAAACCTCTCACTGTTTTGCATTTCTAATGTATTTTCTGCAGAATTTACTCAGTCATTGATCAACCAATGTTGTCCCAAGCGCTGTTGCTCATTTGGATTACAAGAAAGAATTATTCCCTTTGCTGCAATCTTTAAGACCATGCTGCTGTTAGTGACCAGGGCTAGAACACAGGAATTTGGATACTCACCAGGTCTGAGAGGAAACCAGCCATTTCCCCTTGAAACCCTGCCTGCTCTGAGAGCCCTTGTCTGCCAGATGAGAGAGATGGGTTCCACACTGAGATTGTAAGAGTTTGGGATCACAGCACAGAAGTTAAATTCTAACTATGTGGCTTTTAGCAAATTGTGTCCTCCCCTGACACTGGTCAGGGCCTCTTCTTGCTGGTTTAATTATTCTAAGACCCAGATATGACAAGCTGATTACAACACTGGTAAATGTTTATCCTCCTTGAATTGGGAGCACTCGCCCTTACTCGCGCTGCTAAACCCCCGGGTGTTCCTGTTGTGTGAGGAGCCAGACAGTGCCACCCTCTTCCTTCAGTGGAGCAGAGTCCCTCCTCACCTCTCTGAAGAGCAGCTTGGGCAGGGGAGGTTTTCCTCCTCTCCAGTCCTTACAACAGGCCCTTAGAATTATAGCTCAGCCATAATTCCTCTTCTTGCCTGCTAGAACATTTACAATTGCGTGAACAATTTCTCAGATGCAGGAAATTAAATACTGGAATATTGGCATTTTGTGTCCTTGCTAAAACCTAGTTCTTTACAGAGGCTCAGAGTTTTTCCAGAGCCACTCAGAAGCCTCTCTGTAACAGCAGAATTGACCCACTGTGTGCCAGAGCAAGATGCCACATCTCAGTGGGCAAGAGCTGATGAGCCTGCAGGAACTAGAGGGGAAAGGAAGATTTTTCTTTGAGCTGAGGGTGGAGGAAGGACAACTCTGGACCTTTCTGGAAAGGTTTCTAAACACTGTGGCCAGTTTTTAACATCTGGCTATTAAAACAGTCCCTGCAGAGCTCTGTTCCTCTTCCTCTTGCTGTCTGTGTCCCTCCTAGAATACTCCAACTGCTGTCTCATTTTCATCTGGCCTCACACTATTCAGTGCTGTAGGGTGGAAAAAGCAAGCCTTAAATGCCTAGTAAAGTTTTAATTTATTTTCCTAAAGAGGAGGACAATCCACCTAAGATTTGACTACAAGAAATGTGCTTTGTCCAGGCCCAGTATGGAGCTCACCCAACACCCTGGACTTGGAGGGATTTTGTTTTCAGAGATGCCCTGTGTTGCACTTGTGTGATCCTGGAACTGCAGATTCACAAGTGCGTCTTCAACCTTTATTCCCAATCCACAATAGTTTATAGCAAGGTTAATGATTTACCACACTTTCCCTCTTGTGGACAGCCTTTAGCAGGAGGGGAGAAGTAAGGCAGGTTGAACACAATCATGCTGTGGAAAGACATGTATAAGGAAATGAGTTTTTAATCTCTTGTAAGACAGTAAAAACTTCCTCATTGGGAACCAGTAAGTTTGAGAAAGACCAAACAAAATAAGGACCTTTAAAATAATCAATTACCCAATATTTTCTTTTCAAACCACTTCTAATGTTTTTGTTTGGTTTTTTTTCCCTGCATTTTTGACCAGAAGAAGGAATGTATGTTGGTTATTAAAGTGAAACTGTACAATCAATGATCTCAAGCCTTGAAACAAAAAACTTTATCTAGTTTTTTTGGTAGTATGATGATTGTCATGGGAGGGATGGCTGTGTTGGGAAATTTCCCTGCTCCTGGCATTAGATTTTGCCACTGCCACAAATGCTGCAGGAAGCTGATGTGAAGATAAAATAGCAGGGAGCCTTAGGGCTGTGAAAGAAACTGCTTCTCAGTATTCAGATCCTTTTGCAAAATTTATTGTACAGCATCTGCATCAGTTGGTAGTGAAGATCTCATCTCCAGAACAAGACAGACACAGTATTCCTTGACCCCAACAACACCACCCCAGAAGATGGGGTCTCCTTTGTCCCTGACTCTTCATTCAATGAAATCAATCTAGGCACAATCAGAAGGATGAGTTTTCCTAGTCACTGCTTTTTATTTCCTTTCCAGAAAACTGTAAAGCAAAAAGACCAAAAAGTCTCATGTCATATAGCAGTGAACACAAATATGAAAATGTTTTTACCAGGTTATATAATGAAAAAATAATGTGAAGTATTCAGAGACCTGGAAAGAGAAGCAGTCACACATATGGATTAAATTCTCCAGGAGAGGTGTTCCTTTTCTCTGTCTCGTCAGTCCCAGTTACTGTCAGGGCTCAATCCCACTGAAACCCAGTGTTCTCCAGGCTGAGGAGACACTGCACAGCCATTGCCAGTGAGGAAGGAGAATCTGCACACTGGATTTGCCCACTCATTATTTCCTGCTGCTCTGCTTTCTTTGCTCATTGCTTTCTTTCAGTGCTGACATATCCCTGTTTTTCCCAATGAAAGAATCTCCAAGACTGTAAACAAAAATATTGTAAAGATCATAAATTGGGGAACATTGCATATAGATTCTGCTAGGCAAGGCACTCTTCTTTCACTGGCTTAAAGACTTAAACACTTCCTGTGAACTGGAGCTTCTTCTCTGGGAAAGCTCATTGGCACTGACTTGTTAATAAGGGCAGATCATTTCAGTGTCAAAGCTCTGTCCTCTCTGCAAGTTTGTTGCACCTCTGGACCTTCCAGAATCACTTTTCCCAACTGTGGAGTCCTGGTTTTGTCAAGCAAGTAGCAGATCCTGTGTTTTCAGTTTACAACTGCAAGCTTGGAGGGACTGACAAAGATCATATTTTCTCTATAAACTGTGTTTGATTTTTTTCTGCAGAGGAATTAATTCATCTCATATTTCAGGAGCTGGAGAGAACCACCACGTTTATGCTGCACCCTGTACTGAAGGTGATTTTTTTGTGGATCTATGGATTCTCTCTTGCTTAGTGAGACTACTGGGCACTACAGTAATAAAAGAGCAAAATATGAAGTGGAGGGTTTGTTCTTAAAGCCTAGTAACAGTCACCACTGAGCAGTTACTCTGCTGTGGGGCTGCCTGTCCCTTCTTTCCACGGTAGTTCAGGCGGTTGAACTCCTCCATGACCTGCAGCATGGTCTTTCCTTTGGTCTCTGGCAGCACCAGGAATACAAAAATTGCCATGGACAGACAGTATGCCAGGAAAATGATGAAACAGAAATTACCAAGACCTTCCTACAGGAAAACAAAGAGAAAAAAATGTGTTCATAAACATTTATATTGATTTCTCTCTCTTATGATAAAGAGTTTCTGGGTTTGTATTTACTAGAAGAACTCAGTCAGAGACTTAGTTGATGTAAGTCCTGTTTCAAATGACATCTGCCAGTGTTGGTGCCTCTGTCACTGCAGCTGTGCTGCCTATGTCACTCTAACTTGTGTAGAGTTGATAGAATTTTGTGGGTTTGCTGCATTTCCAGTAAATACCTGGTCAGAGGAAGAAGCCATCAGAAGTGCAGTTAATTTGGGCTCTGTCTGTTGCACGAATTGTTGATAAGAGAAGCATGCTCTGGGTTCAGGAGGGGTCCAAACACCCTACTTTGCTTACCACGATGAAAGGGAACACAAGTCCAAGGATGAAGAGCTGGATCCAGTTTGTAACACCATTAAAAACATAAGCAGCTGGTCTGTATGACTGAATAAATATTTCTGTGATCAAGGGGCATACTACTCCACCTGAAAAATATATTGAAGAAAGAAGGAAGCTTAGAAATTTTGAAAGATGCTTCTGTACCTCATATTTAATTTTGCTGCATAAGTTTTGCTGCTTTAAGTGGCCTGGAAGTGTCTGAGGTGGTGCTTGGCTCTTCAGAAAAAAGGCATTTGGGAATGCAATGGGAGAAGAATTTTACCATATTATGGAGGGAAATATCGACACCTGTACTGAATCAGAAGTGGGGATTTGTGCCTATTGTGGAACAGCCACACCTCTCCTAAAGGCTGCAGTGAGGAAGGAATGAGTGAATAAAGGAAACCATTCCAGAAGAAAATACCGACCTGGCCCAATGCCAAAGCTCATGATGAAAATAAAGACAAGTGCAACAGAGCAGTATGGTACCCAGAAAAAGGAGTCCTGTGGTAGGAAATGAAAAGCAAATAAAATCAGAAATTAAAATTTTATTTATCTAGCTCCATTACAAATGTTGATCACTACTATGCATATCAAGGTTTAACACAGATCTATTTCCTCTACTTCCAGAAATGTCATGAGATAGCCTTGGCAATGATCTTGGTTGTGTAAAGCTATGGCTTTAATCATTATGTACATGGCTGGGAATAGACCTCTATGAATATGATGGTTAGCCCCAAAGATACTTCTACTCACTAAAAAGTGATTTGTGTGGGGGGGAAATAATCATGATATCTGTCATACAATAAAACATGGGCACAGTTCTAATGCATCAGAAGGGTCTTACCTGTAGGAAGAGGGTGACTGTGAGGAGCCCTAGAGCCAAGGCCATCACCGTGTAGCTCTTCCACAGCAGCGTCCTCCTCCCTGCGCGCTCAATGAGGAAGCCCTGCAAGCAGGAGGAGATGCTGCAGCTCCAGGGACAGCCCTGGGGAGCTGCTCTGGTCTCTGCCTTCACTGGCCAGCCAGGGAATCACTGGGGAATTTGCACCTTCTCTGGGAGCCTGAGCAGGACTGGGAGCGCCTGTGGGAGGTGCAGGGCTGCAGGGAGCAGTGTCTGTGCACAGCAGCTCAGAGCTGCCGTTCTGCAGGCAAAGGGGAGCCGGGCAGGGGAGCAGAGTGGGAATGCTTACACTGTTAATTGCTGGGATTCCTACAGCCCCGAGTCCTACTGCCCTTCCTCCAGGGTGGAACTGGACTCCCAGGTCAGGCCCAGAATGGCTTGTGATTTTAACAGAAAGACTCAGCTCTTTCCAGAAGCTCAATATAAATGTCCATGTGTGCAGGGTGTGGGGAGAGAACTTTATCTGATTGGTACCATGGTTGACTTCAGGCAAAAATTTGATTCCTGAAGCTCCATTTATGGTATTTCTAAAGATCAAAATGTGCAATTCAGCTGAAAAGCCACTTACACACAGAACTGTGGAGAGGATCTCAGTGGTCCCAACCCCCAGGGAGACATAGTGGATTTGGGTAGGGGGGATTCCAGCCTTTGTAAAGATACTGTATGCATAAAAGTAAACCTGGAAAGAATAAAAATTTGTGAAAGCTGTACACATGTGGCCATGTTTACACTAGCTTCTGTCTTTTTGGACAGAAATTAATTAACCAGACCTTAAGAAAATAGAAAATCATCTTATCATGACAGGGCAATCCATAGAAATGCCTTCAGAAAACAATTGATGAAACAGTTCTTGACTTATCCCAGGTCCCAAACTTCCAGGGAAAAGATTGTAATAAGCAGTAAGAGCAGATCCCTCCTTAGGGCACTGCTGCAGTCATGGCCAGCTCCTTGCAGAGGTTACTTTTGCTGAGAAGCTTGTGAGCCATGCAGAGGGCAGAGCGAAGCACTGCACGTACCACATTGGTCCCGATGAGCTGCATGCATGAGACAACGAGGAACAGAGTGATGAGCTGCCAGCGCACTGCTCTGTCCCTCAGCAGGTCCCAAACGCTCTTGGCCTTCTCCCCACGGATGGCTTTCTGCTCTGACATCATGTCATCTATTTCAGCCACATGGTCCCCATCTCCCCAGAGCTGCTTCACAGCTGGAAGGAGAGGAGGAGAGGTGTCCAAGCTCACCAGCACAGACATGAATCCAGATTATTTCCTGCTTTGCAGAGTATCTTATTAGAACTTCATTCTCTTTGCTTGTGTGATCTTCCCAGAGATCTGGGATCAGGTATGACACAGGTCCAGATCAGTGCTGTCTGCTTTTACCCATAAATTTTAATATGACCTCACCTTTGGTGACTGACTATGACAGTCTTTCAGTAAGTCACACTTACATTCTTTCCAATCCTTCCCTGCATACTCTCCTGCTAAAGGTGCAGTTCTAGTACACACTCCAAAGCACAGACAAGTTATAAAATAACTCCTACATATAAAAAATCAGCTTACATCCAAGGAGTTCTAACTTTGACAGTTAAACACTCATGGTGGCTGTTGCTTGGTTTCTGTTGGCAGCTGCTGTTAGGTTTAGAACTGGGATGCTTCCAGACAGAGCTGGACAGGGCAGAGCCTGTCCCTCTCACACAGAAAAGGTATCTATACTCTGTTCAGGGCAGAACCTGCACAGCTGGAAATACAAACTGTGTGTGATCACCTCCCTTGGACGACCCTGGCAGAGGGTAAGGGAAATACTAGTGCCAAGAGAGCATTAATATCCAAACAGAAGAGGCTGACTTTCATTAAGCTGAAGGTGCTTTCAGAGCCAAAACACCAAGAGTCTTTTTCCCACCTGTGCCTCTCTTCCAGGTTCATCTGGGGCTTTCCTGTCTTTTCCCCTTTTTCCTGAAAGGAATGATTTATGGCCCTTTTCCTTACCTTTGATGCATCCCTCCTTGTCCTTTTGGTCAATGAGCAGGTAGCGGGGAGAGTCTGGGAAGAAGGGGAGGGTGAGAAGCTGAACAAGGACAGGGACTGCATTGGCTGCCAGGAGAATTGGCCAGAGAGCCTCCACTCCAAGAACTTCTCTGGAACAAAAGCAGCAGGGTGAGAGGGGCTGAGGAACCCTTTGTGCTGACCATGTGAGCAGCAGATCCAGGGGGATCCCCCAGCCCTGCTGGGTGTCCCAGCTGCTCCCACCAGGAGTCTCCAGCAGGGAGTGCAGAGGGCCCTTGCCTGCAGCACAGGAGCTGCACGGGGTCAGCTCCTTTGCTGGGCACAGCAAAGCCACCTGTGTCCTCCTGCAGCAGCTGAGGGCTCACAACAATCCCAGAAAAACCTGCAGGGGCTGAGCCCTCTGCTTCTGATCCAAACAGGCTCCCATGACCATTATTACACCAGCCACGAGGTATCAGGCTGGTACTGACTGCCCCAAACAGCAGCCCTTGGGCACAGGCATACATTGATATATGCAGGTATTTTAATAACAGAAGAAACTGAGTGTGTTTCAGATTGTCCTACCTGAGCCCCAGAGCAAATCCCGCAAATTTTCCAGCAGCAATGGAGGTGGAAGCTGTTATGGCAATCAGCCCACGGAGCTTCCTTGGAGCACACTCCCCAGCATACATGATATGGACATTCTGAGCTAAACCTGCCGTGACACAGGACTGTTAGGGCAATGCAAATCCTCGTCCTCTGCGGCTTTGGAGGGGACCACTACAGACAGTGCCTGTGGGGGTTGGCTCTCAGATACACTTTTATCTGTGCTGAGGATGCCTGGCATGAAGCACATGCCTTGGTGCCTTTGCTGAATATTTCACTACCTAAGAATGGGCCCCTGGGAAGTTTGTCCTTCTGCAGGCTGGCCTTCTCTTACATTGCTTCCTACAGCCACCGTGGCTACTCCCTTTAGTCTCAGATGACACTTTTCAGTGGCTGTTCAGATGCTATGTGCCTCATTTTCTGCTTGAAACCACCAAGTTGGCAAATCCTGTACATTCTATTTGCTCAGTGAATTAATTTTTATCTTCTTTTTTTTTCTTCTTTTTTTTTCTTTTTTTCTGGTTGGTATGATTTTTATCCAACTGCTCAGGGGTCAAAGGCACTGGCAGAATGTAACCTTCTGAGGCATCTAGAAATTAGAATTGAAAATTCTAATTGAATTGGCTTGAAAACCATTCTCTTGTCTGTAATGTGGAGGGCAGGATCAGCCACAGTGAAAAGCAACATAAACAACAGAGGCCAGTTCTCTATTAAGTGAGCATGCTTCCCTGAAATATTGCATTTAATATATATTATTATATTATATATATATTGTATTTCACATAATTGACAATTGCTGCCAATTCAGAAATTGCAGTACCTTTTCTATGGACTGGATGTAAAAATAGAAGAAAGAGAAATGGAGATGTCATACATTAGTAATTTAATTATGTTTGTGGTTTCTTAATCAGTTAAAAATGCCCTCAGCAATCATGTTCTCTGCAGAATGTAGTGAAAAGTCTGTGATCTGTGTACTCAGGCTGGTGAATCCTTGTGACCCTCAGTCACTGCTCTTCCCCCTGTTTAATACCACAGGTAGGAATGCCAATTTACCTCCACAGACTCCAGAAAATAACCTTCCAGCAATGATCATCTCAAAAGATCCACACAGCCGGCTGAGTCCCATCAGAGCTGCGCCCAGCAGAGCAGGGATGTTGGCAAGCAGCATGGCCTTCTTCCTGGAATTCATTCAAATTCATGTTAGCATAAATACTGCCCTTGCCTCATTCTCAGCCTGACAGGAGTGGCACAAATTGTACCGTGGTTACAGACTCAGTGCTGCCTTCTGAGATCAGCTGAAGTAAATGGGAAATGGCAATGAGGAAACTTGTCACAGACTGATAAGCTTATTGATGGTTTTGATGTCTTTAGTGGAGTCAATATCTGGAGAACAAGCTTTGTGAGAATCTGAAATTCTCTTTAAAATGCATGTACTTCTTGTATGACTTCCCTGGACTGGATTTGCTCCCTTTATCAGGGAGAGGGTGTGATTTTCCTTGTGATCATTGGCAGATTTTCCATTCTGTTTCTTCACTCTACTGGTCTTTAACTGGAAGCCCTGGGCTGCTCACAGTGCCCCTTTACAAGCAGTGTTTCTGCTGAGACACAGGTTATTTTTCTGCAGTTGTGGGTATAAACAGAAAAAGTGGTGTAACCACTCCTTCCTACCTTCCAAATCTAACAGACAAGTAGCCAGCAGAGGAGGAGCCCAGGAGCCCACCGATGCTGTAAATGGACACAATAAAGGACCACATCAAAGTGATCATCTGTGCACTGGGAGAGGAGCCATATCTCTTCAGCCAGGTCTCACGGATGAAGCTCTGGATGTACTTTAAAAGAAAAAAACCACAATGGACTCAGCCAACATGTTTTTATATTATTGCAGTGCTTTTTAAATTATCTTACCTGCTTTTCAGTCTTTTTGATACATTTCTATTGATAACCATGGTTGAAATCTTAGCCCCAATGAAATCAGCGGGAATTTTGCCATTAGCATCCCTGGAGATGATGTTTTAGTAATGAGATCCAGTGAATAAATATATCAATATTAAATATCAACTGTGAGTGCCAGTAAGAGAATGGTAGGCTGGTCTTCTGTTTCTGTGCTAAACCCTGATCCTTTTTTCTCTACCTGCCATTCCTGCTTGTCTGTTGTGATAGGATGAGCTGGGTGTCCTTGGTACCATTCAGGATGACAAACACCTTCCCCAGTTTTCCTCTTCCAGCTACAGGTGCTGACCTCAGTTCTAGAGCTACAGCCCTTCCCTGCCCTATTCCACCTTACAGCCACTTGGAAATAATGTGTGTGGTCAAGCACATGGTCCAAGGGACTCCCTGAGCAATGGAGAGAGGAGAAATTCCACTCAGCAAGGGGAAAATGGCTTTATGGGTATCATTCATCCCTCCCTTTCCCACTTCTGTCACATCAGACAGAAGTTCAAACCTCATGAAATGCAAGAGCAGTAGAAAATACTCTTAGAACTAAGAAACCACGATAAATCTAATTTTGAAAGCAAAAAGTTAACCATTGCATATAGAGGCATGAATACCTGAGGACAGTGAAATCCTGATAGCTCAATCTTTCAGCTCTCCATGCTTACCTCAGCAGGAGAATTGATAATGGAGACCTGCAATCCATAGTGAAAAGCTCCAGTAATGCCCAGGACAAAAGCCAGGAGAAAAAGGTTGTAGCTCATTTTCTTGCAGGAAATAAAAACAGCAAGCAAACTGCTTTAGCTATCCAGACATGTCTCCAAATGTTCTGTGTTTCCCTTGGGAACTCTAACAACCTGAGCAATGCCACACACCTGCCTCCTCTGAGAGCAAGGAGCCAGCAACAGGAAACCACAGCTACTAAAGCACAGGACAGTGAGAACGCTGAGTACAGACACAGCTCCCAGAAGCCTCCCAGCACCCAGTTACACACTTCAGTGCTTCTGTCTTCAGCTTTGGCCATCTTAATCTGCACTGTCATAGTTGTGGGAGCAGAGTGCAATGTGCGAGCATTTTGTGAACCGTTCCATTTATTTGTCCTTTCTCCTCCTCCTTTCCCACTTGTTATCTCACCTAAATGAATGTTTTGCTGAGTGACTTGGCTGAGACTAGATAAACATTTGGGGATTGAAGGGCATTGTTGGTTTCATAGTTTATTCACCTTTTCTTAGAACTCTCTGACAGGAGGTTTAAGAATACAGGACTGCAATACATGCACCTCAACCTCTCCCACTCCCTGCTACAGACTGTCCTGGGGATATTCTGGCCAGCAACGAGAGCGTGATGCTGCACCTCTGGAATATTTCATATTCAAACAGTGACTGCCAAGCATTTACAAGCCAATTCCTAATCAGGGGAATGTCATTGCTTGAATGGGCATCAAACCTCTTCACACCAACTTGCATGCAAAGGTCATCCCCACTTGCAGCCTAGGTCTTTCCTGATGCTTTCTTTGGCTACTTTGGAAAAAGTTCCTTTTTATAAAGAGAAAGAGGAGCCTGAGATAATATTTCAACACATCATTTTGTTCTTTCTCAGTGTTTGAGCTCCCTTTGGTTTGTCATGAAGGGCCTGCTGTTTGGTTTGTCATTGTTGTGCTGGTTAGTGATGAAGCTGGGGATAGCTGCTGAGCTGTGCTCTGCCAGGGCTCTGAGCGTGCTCTGGCAGCAGCTGTGCACAGTGAGGGCTGTGGGAGATGAGTAAAGGACAACAAGGAAAGCACTGGTGGAACTCAAAGTCCAAGGACCGGCTCAAACTCGAGTGGGCTGGCTTGGACTCCCCAAGTTATAGGCTGGGTAATCAGATTTCACACTCTAAGGATAAGCTCCTGACTGATACCTTGAGCCTCAGTTCAGAAAAGCCTTTTCAAGCCCAACTTGGCCAGGACAGACAATGCCTGTGCACCCAAGTGTTGAATTATCAGTTGACTGATCAATTGGCTCTTTAAGAGTAATGGTCATTGGCTGAAAGCTCAAGTCTATATCCCTATAATGTACAGCAGATGCCAGGAAAGTTTAATGTCAGTTTTAAATCCTGACTGTAAAATCTTTCATTTTATCCACAATTTTCGAAGGGCCTCTTTATCTAGCAGTGTCCAAGATGGTTCTGTTAAAAGGCCTTTACAAGTTATTCAAACAACTTAGGGGTGCATTCCTTCTGGGGAGTGGCTGCCCTTGGTGCTTCCCCAGGCTTAGGATGCTGCATGTCTTTGGAAGAACCCCAGCACCAGCTGGGTTGCAAGTGAGAGCTGGTTTGTGCAGAGGAGCAGTGTTTGAGAACAGCAGCAGTACTAGTTTTCTCTAGTGTTGCTGGTTGTTAACCAATCCACCAGTGCACAATTATTTAATCTGCAAACAGTAATATCAACTGTGAGTCTCTGAGGATCGCTTTTCAAGATGTGTTTTTGCCTAACACTTCATATGATAAGAAAATGTGAACAAGTGTCATAGATTTCTCAGTTGAAGGTGTTTTAATTCAATATCAATTAACCAACTTGTTAAATGCTTCCATTAAAATTTAACAACTTAAACCAACTAAAATATAACCACTGTGTTTGCTTAATCAGTTTATAGACCCCTGATTTAAGGCCATAGTCAGAAAAAAAAATGCTGGAAGTTGGAATTAATGTTTTCTGCCACATGTACTCACAGAACCAGCTCTAAAAGTCAGGAAGTCAAGTAAATGTGTGTCATTTCTCTCCAAGCCTCTTTCACACTGGCAGGTGCAGATGACCTCTGCCTTGCAGGGCTGTGGGAAAAGTGGCACAGTCCTGACTCACGGGAGTGGCCACAGAAGTGGCCAAGGTGAGGACCTCTGGACACTGGAGGACTTCTCTGACCTGAATGTTCCAGCAGAGTGAGCCAGGCCTCTCCCTCTGCCCAGGCAATCTCCTCACTCCATCCCTGCTTCCTTCCCTGCATGCTCCCCACTGCTTCCCTTCTTCACTCTTCTCTGCTTCACTTCTGTCATCTCCTTCCTCTGGTTCTCATCACAGAATATTTTGCCACCATCATGATGGTAGTGGCACTTTTTGCTTTGACTCTTTCCATTTTCCCCTCACTGCTCTCTCCAAACTATAGTAATTAAAAATATCTTTTCAGTTCCTAATTCTCTGGACTTCTGCTCTTGATTGCCTTGCCTCAAAATTCTGCATACTTCAAAATCTCAGTGTTTTCCAAGAGCAGAGGTAGCTGCTCTTGCCCATGTCTGTATATTAATGAATTCTAAAATAGCAGCAACCACAAAGGAAAACAAGTTTTTATTTTTCATATGTTATAAACTTTGGGTAGTGAAAGAGAGTTCTTGCACAGATTCCTCTTCTGAGAAATAGATCTGCTGCTCCACTCATGCCCAGCATGATAGTAATACACTCCAGAAATTTTTAGTCTTTTTATTCAAAAACACTGCATTTTTCTTTAAAATTTAGTTTAAAAATACACTGAAAGAAACTTTACCTACTTATTTTGAAAATGTATGTATTCTTCTTTGTTGCAAACATGAGCAGTGCTGTGACTTTCATACAAAGTCAAAAGAAAAGAGGTGGCTTGATGATGACTTTGAGAAGAAACTAAAAGAAACTTAAGCAGTCAGGCCAATGCCTGTGAAATGTTCAATGAGGAGTGCTCCCTGTTCTGTATCAGGTTAACTAAAAAGAATCAGTCACATCTGGGTCTTTGCCAGTGTGCTCTAAGGACACAACAAGGACATGCTGCAGAGAACACTGTGGTGTGATCTAAAGATCCACATCCAAAAGCAGATGCACAGGTGCAAAACCCTACAAGATGCACCAGCAGTGTCCCTGGGAGCAGAACAAACTGGACCAGGGAATTACTTGTGCTTTACAACAGAGGCCTGGAAGACAACAAACAAGCCATGAAGAAAACCAGTCCAGAATAAATAGTCTGCAAAACAATGCCCAAAAGTCTGTTGTATAATAAGCCACTTAGCAAGTACTAGAAGCTTTCTTTCTAATCCATCTGTCACATGTTTTTATAGCTGAAAATAATTAACTGTTCACTATTGCTTAACAAGTAGGGGTCTATTTGAAATCACTTAATAACAGAAACAACGGGAGCACCACGACAAGGTACTGAAAATTTCATCTGGTGTCTGAAAACAGAATTTAATCGCATTAATTTCTGTGTTAGAAAGCCCAGATTCAGGGGCAAGGAAAGAAGGACTTCTGAAATGGGAATTACTGTTTGGAGAAATTGTGAAGAAATTTTCTAAAGTGTTACATGGTGTTGTATGATGATAAGAGAATAAGGCATCATTCTGTCACTCTCTGATATGGATTCTAAAATATACATGTGTTACTCAGTACTAAAAGCTGAGAACAGATTATTGAACTTTTGCTTGGATTTATCAGTTCAAGTGTATGTTTTCAAGGTGAACCTAAGAGTAAATACATTGTCCCTAAGTTCTCTCTTTGTGTCCCTGCAAGGGCACATAGCCACTGCTGAATTCACTGCAGAATTCCCCCAGACACCATCTTCCTCTCTTCTGCTACAATGTGGTGGTTTTGATCTCCTCAGGGCCTTTATAGAAACCTGCACGGCTCCTAGTTCTGAAGTTCCGTTTCCTGAACTCCTCCGAGATTTCCAGGAAGGACTTTCCCTTTGTCTCAGGAAGGAAAAACCAAACGTAGAGGGCAGTGCAGACACAGACCACAAGGAATGGGATGTAGCAGAAATGTGCTAGACTCTTCTGAGGAGGAGGAAAAAACAAGACAGTGTTGGTGACATTCTGTATGGTGACAAAAAGGCCACTAATCCCTCTTCCTGCACTGTCTGGAGTCACCCAGGGAGTATTTCTGTGAATCCTGGTGAGGGCCTCACATGCCTGGATGAAACAGCTCCCCAGCACAGATTGGTAAACTTGACATAGCAAGAACAGTATTTTGAAATGTATTTTTCTGTCTTTCTCTCTCTCTATAATTTCATAACATGGGAGCCCTCAGTAGGAAATAAACAGGAATGTATGCTGTGGAATTCTGCTCCCTTTTGCTTCAGGAATCATCTTAGGGAATGGTGCCAGGGTCTGGCAAAGGAAAATCACATCACATCTTTAGTTCCAGCCACTCTCAGCTGAGGACAGAGGAGGAATATTGATCATCCATCCCCCAAATGATTCCACTCCCAACCTGAAATCAGAAATCACCATAGAGAAAAAGGAGAAAGTTTGGTTTAAAGGAATTCTCGCCACTATCCTCACAAAGATACTTTTCAAAGAAGTGCTATCTTGCTGCTTGCAATATTGTCTTTTCCTGGTCACTACCAGAGCCTCTCTCTTGTACAGAGCACTAAAGAGCTGCTTTGCTTTGGGAACGCACCACAATGAATGGAAAGGCTGTTCCAACCAGAAACAGGTTGAACCAGAGCAGGGAGCCACAGATCATGTAAGCAGCTGGGCGGGACATTTGATCAAAAACCTCTGTGGGCAGAACTCCTGTTACACCAGCTGGAAAAAGAAATGGCAAGAAAGTTAATAATGTTGTTGACATTACATTAAAAACAAGAGAACACATCTTAACAAGAAATCCCGGTGTGAAGTGTAAGAGGTGAATTTTTAGGTTAAATATTCAGGACTGGGTAATTATTCAAAGTTTCTCATGTTAGAATGAACTGCCAGGCAAGGTTTTGTAATCCACATTATTCTCACAGTACCCAGTGGTGAGAAAGGCTTATAATTAATTCAACCCCATGGCACTGTAGGGACTGAGACAAGAAATTATTGCCAATTTGTGTGGCATGTGACACTGGCAGCTTGCTTCTACTCTTACCTGCCTTCCTTCAAACTCATGTGAGCAAACAGAGTCTCACATCTATATATTCACCATGCAAACATCCACAACATCCTGTGTATTGCCCACCCCTAGAAACCAGTGCATTCTGCCATGGAAAGGCACATTAGTAGGCTAACAAATAGACATGGAAATTGTGCTTCCAGGTATCTGCAAGAAAATAATCAGATGGCATAGCCAGCAAGTTCTAGGATTAAAGTGAAGCATTAGAAATGCTGCATTACAGCCCTAATGGACTGGGCAGCAAATCAAAACCTTGTTATCTATTTAAGCCAAGAATCACTTCCAAGTGCCTTGGCCTAATAGCCAAGATGACTGTGAGGGGGAATATGGCACAGAGAGAAACAGGCACAGCCTGGCCCTGCACAACACCAGGGCACACAAAGCCCTGGGAAACAGCCAAACACCACCAGCAGAAATTGCCTTGTTCCTCTGAGTACACTGCAGCTAAAGATGGTCTGAGAGTTTCCAAAAGATGCCTGCACACATCTCCAAACCCCTGCAGTACCCAAAAGTTTCACTGAAAACACTGAGGGAACTGACCTGGTCCGATTCCAAAGCTCAGGATATAGGCGAAAATGCAGGCCATGCTGAGATAAGGCATCCAGCTAATCTGAGTCTACAGCCACAGAGACCAATGGAAAACCAGTGAGGGCACTTATTTGCCACCACTGAACACCCCCAGTCATATAAAAGGTAAAGCCCAACTCCACTCCACTTCAATAATTAAATAAAGTTTGTTACCTGCTGGCTCAGAGCGACCATGAAGACAATGGCCCATCCTGCCATGAAGATATATCCCCCCAGCAGCAGCGGCCTCCGACCGGCGTAGTCTATAATCATGTTCTGCACAAAGTAACACAGTGAAAGAAAGCAAGATATTTAACCTCTGTTTATATTTCCTACCTCTTTCCTCTTTACCTTTCAATACTCCATGCCTAGTTCGCTCTACAGTAACTTTTAGGATGCTGTCTGCTTCATAGCAAAAAAAAAAAACAACTCAAAAAGAAAGTTCTGGTGGCAGGAATCAGGCAAGAAGGGTGCTCAGGGCAGATGAGAATGTCCCAGCTGCACCTAAACCCTGCCACCATCCATATGAGCACACAGCAAGAGTGTTCCCCTTGTTAGGGATTTCAGCCAGTGATGGCAATGCAATGTCTGACCAAATACCTCTGCATTAACCCATCTGGCTGGGGGTGCTGACAGCCAGGCTGGCTCCTGTGCCTGGAGGGCTCCCTTGGCATGAAAAGCAGTGTAAGCCCCAAATTTGTATTTAACAGCCTCCCCCATTCCAACAGAGGCTGCATGTCACCAGAGTGCATTGAAAGTCTCACACAAGTGACAGATGTGATCAGCTCACAGCTTCCCGTGCCGATTACAACATAGGGGATCTTGTCCTGAGGAATTCCAGCCTCTTGGAACACATAGGCTGCATAAAAATACATCTGTGAAGAGAGGAAAGGAGAAAGCAGTAAGAGAAGACATCTGAAAGGACATCCCATTGTTTTTCCTGAAGGACAGGCAGAGTGTCTGACACACTGTGACACAGGCTGCCTTGGCAGCATCCTTCTGAATCCTCCCATAACACACAGGTGAATTTTGGGAAGCAAACACCTGACATTTGAAGATCTCCACAGGCAGAGAGCCACTGTTCATTCCTCTCCTGCTGCCAGAATACTGAAGCCAAGAGCTCCCACAGGACAGAGGCTGCTTACCGAGTCGTTCCCGCAGAGCTGCATGGCGCTGCTCAGCACCACGATGCTCACCAGCTGCCACCTCAGAGCTGGGTTCTGGAACAGCTCCCACGGGTTCTTTGCTCTCTGGCCTTTAACAGCAGCCTGCTCTGCCAGCATCTCTTCCAGCTCTGCACTCAGGTCACTGGTGCCTCTGAGCTTCTGCAGTGCTGCAAGGACAAGGGAACCTCTTGCTCCTGGGCTTTCTCTTCAGTTTGCTGCTCTGCAGGGTGAGGGATCAAGCAGCAGGTGATGGCTGCAGAAAGCTGCAGGACAGAGCCTGTGATCATGCTGTGACCTTCACAGAGCTGATCAGCTGTGGTGCAGCCACTTGAAGGATTTGGGGGAAAGAAAGGGAGTGCAAATCCCTCACCATTGTTTGACAACTGAGTATTTCCCAAGAGTGCCATTTTAGCAGCCATGCTTCTGACTCAGATCTCAAGTGCCTTCCCTGGGAAATGCAGGCAATTAAGATGTTCTTGGTACACAGCAAGTATTTCCCACAAAATAACTCCAGCCACTCTGCATATGAGGATTTGTATGCCACAAATCTAAGTAAATCCTTTAATATGAATTGGCTTCAGATTTGATCCTGAGCTCTTCAACCGGCATTTATTTCACTTCATAGTTACAAAACATATTTGCCATTCTGAACACAAGTCTTACCTTTTGACCCTATTACTGCAGCAAATAATTCTATTGTAGGAAGATGCCTTTCAATTTACCTCAATAGATCAAATATATTTAGGATTATAGAATGTTCTTTAGTTTGGAAGGAGGGAATGATCAAATTTACAACTTGATATAAAACTTCCTACGTGTAAAATTTGTGACACCATTCCAAAAATGTTTGGGCCCAAGTCTCACATGTTGTGGGAGGAGTTAGCAGTCACCCCAAACTCACCAGAGATGCAGGATTCTTTGTCTCCACGGTCAATCAAGAGATATCTGGGACTTTCAGGGAACCAAGGCAGAGCTGTGAGCTGGATCAGAGCAGGAACCACATTGCTTGCTAAGAGCAATGGCCAGTTCTCCTCCCCTCCTAGGAGCTCCCTAGAGGAAAACAAACAAACCTTTACAACCTGCAAATGTGGGGTGGGAAGGCAGGCAGGCAGGAAGGCAGGAAGGAAGGCAGGAAGGCAGGAAGGAAGGCAGGAAGGAAGGAAGGCAGGAAGGAAGGAAGGCAGGAAGGCAGGAAGGCAGGCAGGAAGGCAGGAAGGCAGGAAGGCAGGCAGGCAGGCAGGAAGGCAGGCAGGCAGGCAGGCAGGAAGGCAGGCAGGAAGGCAGGAAGGAAGGCAGGCAGGCAGGCAGGAAGGCAGGCAGGCAGGAAGGCAGGCAGGAAGGCAGGCAGGCAGGAAGGCAGGAAGGAAGGAAGGCAGGAAGGCAGGCAGGCAGGCAGGCAGGCAGGAAGGCAGGCAGGCAGGCAGGAAGGAAGGCAGGAAGGAAGGAAGGAAGGCAGGCAGGAAGGAAGGAAGGAAGGAAGGAAGGCAGGCAGGAAGGCAGGAAGGAAGGAAGGAAGGCAGGCAGGAAGGCAGGAAGGAAGGCAGGAAGNGGAGGGAAGGAACGCAGGAAGGAAGGCAGGAAGGAAGGAAGGCAGGAAGGAAGGCAGGAAGGCAGGCAGGAAGGAAGGAAGGAAGGAAGGAAGGAAGGAAGGAAGGAAGGAAGGAAGGAAGGAAGGAAGGAAGGAATTTAATGAGTGCTTGCTTTGCATTACCTGAGTCCAACAACCTGCCCCAGCACCAGCCCCAGGGCTGTAAACGATGCAGAGGTCAAGGCCACAGCTCCTCTGAGCTTCTTTGGGGCACTCTCTGCCAGATACATGGGCTGAATGTTCATGCTTACACCTGGGCAAGGCAGACAAGTGCTGACCTCAGCTTGAGGGCAGAGGAGACAAGAATAAATGCAGTCAGCCACCTCTCGAGGTTGCCAGCTGCACTCCTCTGCTGCAGGCCATGTGATGATAACTAATTGACCAGTACTTGTTATTTACCCAAACCTTCAATTTCACCCCTGTCCCTTGTGTAACTAAACACACATTTCAATATTCATCAGTAGCAGTGGATAATGAAACTGAAACCTGTCAGGGCCTCAGTCCTATGGTCTTTTCAGCACCAAATCCAAGGTTATATGCCATGTTTCCCTCAACTTCTCCTTTTGAGGGGAATATCATATTTTAAGTCCCTTATATTGATCATTTCCTGGGATGAACTGCTACAAAAGCTTTTGTGTTGGTGCTCATGGGGGTGAGTGACTGACATTCTTACAAGCAGATAGGGATCCATTTTCAGCTCAGACTTTCCCCATGTACAGAGATGCTCATGTGCAGTACACAAAATCCCCCTATGTATGTGTGCTTTAAAAGAAAGCCCTTAGAAGCAAAGCATGAAATCTGTATATACAACTTCTTAATTCACTTAATCTGGTCAGCCTAAAGGATTTGCAAGGCAATATCCTGGATCATTCCTACTTAAATTTCTTCTAATTGTTACCACCTTCATCCTTCTATATTTCTCATGTTGTCATACCTGCATTCACACCAGTGAAAAATCTGCTGAGCATAATCATTTCAAAGGATTTGGCCATTCGGCTGAAGCCGGACAAGGTTGCAGCTATGATCACAAAGACATTGTTCAGCAGCAGGGACATCTTCCTTCCGAGAGAAAAGACAGTTGTGAGCACACCTGTGTCAGGTTCAGCTCTCAGATAAAACATTTCCTGTGGCAGGTGCCACCTGCCAAGCCTGGGAGCTCCAGATGGGCAGCTCAACCCCACCACAGAACATCCAGGTTGATGCAAGCCCTGCAGGAGGTGTCTGTGTGCCACAGGCTGTCCCTGCACTGCTGCCTTTAGGTGCTCTGAGGACACCCCCAGGTTCTCCCCAGATTCAGGGCTCTTGTGCTCACTCAATGGAGAGAAATATTCCTTCAGCCGTGTGCATTTTGCTCTGAAAATGCTAATTCATTGGGCATTTTTCATGTACAGAGTTTTCATGTATCCCAGGAGAAATTTCTGCTGCAAGCCAGGGGAAAAAAGAGAGCTCTGTTGGCTGTTATTATTGCCAGAAATTCTCTCTAGTCCCTCCTCACTGCCTTACCAGTCAGTCTTTGTTTCTCTTACTTATGATGGAATAGGATTTTATTCCAAAGTAGTAGTACAGGGTTAAATCTCAAAAATTTTAATGGATTAAGGAAGCCATATCCTTTCAAGTCTTCATAACCATGAAACTATCAAATCATGGGACCTCAGACCATAGAGGGTGGCACAATCTAATTTCGTGTTAGTTTATATTGGTAACACTGGTTTGGTTGTGGTGGTTTTTTGGTTGTTTTTTTGCTTGTTTGGTTTTTGTTTGGTTGGTTGTTTTTTTGTTTCCGTTTTTGGTTTGGTTTTTGGCTTTTGTTTTTTCCTAAAGAGAGCTGTGGGCATAGAGCTGTGTATGAAAGATAAAGATAAAGAAAGGTAAGACAGGCACTTTTCAGAGACTCAAGCACAGAGAGAAAAATCCCACTGTGGACATATAGTGAATACTTTCTGAAATGTTTCAGACCAAAATGTGGATACACAGCCTGTGAGACATGAGGAGCTGGGATGTAAGAGAGTTTTTCTCTGTTTTTCTACTGTCATTCCCACAGTTTCTTTTGAAGAAAAAACCTTACTCTGATCCATTATGATTTCCCATTTAAAATCATGGCAGAAATCTGGGCACAAAAATGATAGAGATGATGTAGGTGGGTACAGAGATAAAGAGTTGAGCTGAAATCCTCACAGCACCTCAGCTGGGCTGGAATGTCATGAGAAGGTAATGGGGGGGAAAAAACTGTTCCCCATTGAGTTTTGAGATATGAAATACTGTCTTGTCAGGTAGTTTCTCCCCACCAACCCAGTGTGTTTACAGCAGACTGATCTGTGACACAAAACATGTTTTCATTACTTTTAACCATGTTTGGATCCTAATTCCTCTTGGACTAAGGGAAACTGCAAATCTTAAATTAAACTCCAGCACCTCTTACCTGCCCAGCATGATGGCCATGGGCCCAGCAACCACAGCCCCCGTGAGGCCTCCCAGAGGGTAGGCAGAGACAGTGAAGGACCAGAGCAGCAGGATGACGTTGCTCTCCAGGGGAACGCCCATGCGCTCCAGCCAGGTCGTGTTCATGAACATCTGGATGTACTGAGAGAGAAGGACAGAGCTGCAGAACCACCAGAGAGGAGAAGGACACCGAGAAAGGCTCCCTTATTAATAGATCTATTTATCCTGTGTTTATGCTGTCAATCTCCTCCAGTTCTTAGATGTGTTTTTAGCAAAGTTTAGGGTGTGAAACTGTTGTTGAAAAGTTGCAGTTGGTTTGTATCTCTATGTGGTTATTTTTGATGGGTCTCACTTTCAATCTAAGGGTGAAAATCAACTTCAAACAATGCAGGCTGGAAAATTCTAGAATTAGATTTTGCTAAAGCAGTTGAAACAAAGCTTTTGAATAAACTCTTGGGACACTAGGTCCTGCTCAAGGATGGCTTTTGACAACAAAGTCCTGAACTCTGGACATGAATTACACAGAGGGAACAACACATCCTTGCTCTGTGTCCCTGAGCAGCAGAGGACAGCAGATGTCCTGTGGCACAACTCTGGTCACCAACCAGAGCTCCAACACGGAGCCACCAAGGAAGGGTCTGCAAGGGGAAGGCACTGGCAGCAGCAGCACTTACTGAGGCTGGAGCATTGATGATGGAGATGTTGTAACCGTACTGGAAAGTGCCTCCAATCCCAGCAGCACATATTGTCAGGATTAGGATCTTGTTCTGAAGCTGAAGAAAATGACAGACAACAGATGGCTTCCTCACACAGAATGACTCAACAGACATTCACACTGTGAGCTGGGGGATTTTCCCATGGCCAGGTACACCCAGTGCATTCAGAATTCCTTGGTGTGCTATCATTTCTAACCTTTCATGATAATAACACATATTTTAGAGTTTATTTAGAGTTATTTTTAGAGTGTCTTTCCTGTGATGCTGCACTTGCTGCACAGAGCAGACAATGCTTAGCAGTCTATAACTGCATCCAGCATTATGGTAGAGGTGAAATATGTGCCAGACAGGGAGTTCTATGCCATGTTCAGGTCTCCCTGAGGACATTTCTTCACAAGGATTGTCACTTGCTCACATTGCCAAGTGACACCACTGCTGAGCCTTGGGAAGCACGGGCAGGGGAATGGGCTGCCTCATCATGCAGCATCACAGGATCAGTGTTGGTGTAAAAGTCTTGACTTTTTGAAGGGTGCAGAACAAGCTGTCCTGGCTGGCCCAGCTCACTGGCAGGCTGACAAGCAAAAACATACAGCTTTTTTCCACTCTTTTGTACCTGTGCCTTTGGTTTCCCCATCTGCAGGTGAAATCCTCTGACAGGCAATCGTGCCCTGAGGGAGTCTTGGGACTGGGAGTTCAGTTCCACATCTCAAGCACTCTGAGCACGCTGGGGGCCCCTGGTTTTTAGCCTGACACCTCCTGCAATGTTCTGGGTGGCCCAGGATGGCCTTTGCCAGCCCCCTGCTTAAAAAGCCCTCCCACTGGGAAAGCTCTGGTGTAACATGAAGAGCCCATGCTCAGGCCTGGCTGTTTGCCAGCCAGTGCAGGGCACCTCAGGCCAGATTGTGTTTTGCTATGTGAATATGACCCCAGTGACCCTGAGAACTTAAATAACCCAAAGCTGAAGACCTCGTTCTGCTTTACCTGCTCTGTTTCTTCTTACAGAGACATCCACCAAAGAAAAAAAAATTGGTCTAGTCTCACAATAGCTCTAAAACCACACATTCAAATAATCTTGGATTTTTTTCCTTTCCTCAAAGTGTTTTCTTCTAAATAACTTCATACCAGCCTGATGTTCCCCCAGGACAGAAATAAAGCCAGACTATTCCAAGTCTGCAGCAAGAGGAGGCTGAGCTCTCCTCTCCCAGCCAGCAGCAGACAGATTTCACTTAGACTTTCCATGGCAACACCACTTTCCTGTCTTGTTACTGAGAACTGAGCTAAGGATTGGACACCTGAGATCTCTGCCATTCCTACTTATTCTCATTCTCCAGGTGAGAGTTTCCCCTCCCTACAATAGCGCATTCCCTTTCCATTTACAATATCTAGGAATATCCCACTCCTTCTGCTCATTTCCCTGCTTTCATTGTAGAGCACATCCCCTATCAAGTCGTGTATCACAGAACTCTTTTGTGACCATGAGCTAAAGCAAAATGGTTTGTTTCTCCCTTCAGGGGCCAGCAAACACCTCTGTGCTCAGAGCTGAGCTACATTTACAGAGTGACCTTCCCAAGCCTTCTGCAACACCCAGCTTCTGCACTGTTTTCCCAGCCAGCGTGGTGGTGTGCAGCTCCCAGGAGAGCCATTAGTCTGTCAGCTTTATCCCAAGGACTCTGATGAATTGGAAAAATAATTCTATGCAAGCCTGACAGTACTTACACAACCTTATAAAAATTCAAATTAAAAAAATAAATCTGTTAATAATAATAGTAAAATAGATGTTTTACCAGTCTCTGCAGCTTGTTCATCCTCTTTCGTAGGTTTTCCTCTGTCTGCCAAAGCCTCTGGTACTCTCACAGTGCTCTAAAGGATTATGTAAATCTCCAGCATAGGAATGTGTGTTTAGTCACCTATTACGTTAGGATAAGACACTTGATTTGGCAGGTGTTTTGCCAGCTGGATTACATTCCCAAAACTGAGCTGCATGTTCATTAGCAAGATGATTCAATTAATTTTGCTGAAAGCCTGTGACGGTCCAGGGAAATGATTCTCCAAGATCCAGAACTGTCTAAACCCTCTTGAAGGCCAGTGTGGTTTACAAGATCAGTTCCTTCTCAGAGCTCCTGGCACAGCCACCAGTATCACTTCTCTGATGAAGTGTGATCAAAGCAGAAGTGAACTACGATTATTTTTTATCCTGGTTGCATTTGTCCTGGAACACAATCTAGGATCTGAAAGACAAAGCAGACTGTTTCCCTTGGTCCCATCAGTGACAGGGATGAACAAAGCCCAAGCTTTTCAAACCCCTGGTTATCCAAGGCCTTTCCCTGTGCTCCTGGCTGTGTCCTGGTGACAGATCCAGCTGTTGCTGGAAAAGCTGAGCATGAAGGCACAGAAGGCTGTGCTCCTTTCCCTCTCCACAGCCTGGCACAGAGCAAACAGGCACACTTAGAGAGACCACTGGGTCCTGGCAGGTACAGAAGACACCAGTGACAGCCTTGTTTCTTCCTATGGAACAGAAAGGCTCTCCTTGGCAGTGGGAAATGGTGAATCCTTCTGAATCCTAGAGATGGAGATGGACACATATTCTACTTCCAGCAGTAACATTAAAGCTGCTGCTTCACAAAATATCTGGCCCTCAGGAATAATCATCCTTTTCACATCCTGTCATCCTGCAGAGTGAGATTTGTGAGGGCCCTGACACATTTCAGAGAGTTTGAAATAACTGAAACATTTTAAAATGCTTCTTCATCCCTACTCAGGTTTTACTGCAGGTGAACAGAAATATGAACCTGTTCCACCTGGCAGAGGTATTGTCTGGTGAACATGCAGCCAGGGCTGTGGTGCTGCATCAGCTGCAGCCACTAAGTGGCAGGAGAAGTACAAAATTTGCTGTATTAGGCTCTGAATCCAACATGCCAGCACTGTGCTGCCCATGGCATGTGCCAGGGGTTAGATGAATGCTTCCAACAGCTTCCCAAACAATAAACTGGGAAACAGATGTAACTGTACCTGTCAACAGGCACTGATGGATAGTTTAGGCAGCATATATCAAGAACAGTAATTCATTCAAAAAGGAAAGCTCTCATTTCCTCATGCTGTGTGCTCTGAGCTTGTGCCAGTTGCCAGAGGTGAGGGAAGTCCTGGGGGTGGGCACTGAGATGCTGGGGATTGTGGCACAGACTGCTCACGAGCCTCCCTGTTCCAGAGGGAGCATTAATTGGATATTGCTGTGGTGAGATCTGTGTGCAGCTGGCTAGCTGGGAGTTCCAGGAAGTTGTTCTCTATCTTTTCTAGCCACGGCTGCCTTGATGAGGAGTGAAGGGATAGATTTTTTTTGTCTACACAGCACCTATATTGTGGTTTGGTGCTGAGAGATGTTCACACTGGTTGTGTTTCTAACTGGCTTTATGATGCACCTTAAGAACCCCAGCTTTCCCAATGCTTCATCCTTGTTGTCAGAGTTTCAGAGTCTCAGTTGTAGATGAGAAATCTCGGGGGTCAGGGTCTGTCACCAGGGTATAACCTCTGCTCTGCAGTTCCTCCAACTCCTGGCACTGGAAGCCTTCACACAAACCCAGCAGCTTTCCAGCAGTCCTGTGGGGACCCACCAGTATCTCCCTTCAAATACTCTTTCAGTGAGCTCAAACCTGTCATAATCAGGGTGAAATACGATGCCATGCACATGGGAGAGGAGTTATTTGGAGGATGTGATGGCAGTCTCTGCCTTCAGAATCTGGCTGCAGGAATAAGTGGTAATCCTGCAGTTAGGGAGGACCATCAACACATGCTCTTTGATCTGTCACGAACTGAGAGGCTCCAATGTTTTACTGTGTTTTTACACCAGAATCATCTGGACCAACTTCAAGGGGAGAAAAGGGGCCCCATTTCCATCTGTGAGGCTTGGATCTACAGGATGAATTCTCCCTACAAGTGTAAATTGCAGAAGAGATGTGGAGCAGCTCCCTGGCTGGTTGTTGACTCTCCCAAGCTCTAGCCTGGCTATTTCTGCAATCCCTTCTCACTTTCCTGTAAGGGCCATCACTGTAAGGTACAAAATTCCTCTGTTTGCTTGTCCTGACTCTTGCAGGACTCACTCAGAATACAGAAGACAAATAATAAGATCTGCAAACAAGCAGCTTTCTCAACAAATATGCAGCAGGCTTGCTGATTTCATGGTGAAATCAATGTTTATGGAACTTAGTTGTTGAAATGGATTTTTCCTTTCACTAGGAAATGAGTGCTCTGCTGTGACACCATTATTCTCGGTTCCAGCACTTCGCTAATGTTCTTTATAAAGACCCCATAATTTATGATCAAAACACTGTTTAAGAACTTCAGGAAATGAGCTTCATCACAGAGGTTTCTCAGGCAGGGACCCAATGCTGACAGAGCTTCTGCTACCACACAGTCACTGGGACACTTTCCAGAGCATGGAGATCCATGGGAGCTGAGTCCTTTGAGGACACGAGGTTGAGACAGCCAAGGGACCTTGCTGCTTTCCCTCAATAGCTGGGATTTTTGGATGTCAGAACATCTGTATGTTCTGTGTGTTGGATCAGCAGTCTGCCTTTCCCTCCACCTGATAAGCACTAGAGCTTCTCTGGGAAAACTGAGAAAAACCAAAATCCTAAAAATAATGGGAATACCTTTCCTTCAGTCCATTGTGAGCTGTAGGTCATGCTGTGGCTGAACTATTTCTTTTCCTTCCATCTCTGTATCAGACACTGATAGAGGCAGTTAGCTGGAATTGAGTGACCTCGAGGCCAGAGGGAACAAAGTCTTTACGTGAACAAAACATCTGTTTCTGTGTGTGAGAGAAGAGCATTTACACTCTACCAAATGGCATCAAATGTTCCCATCAGAGGAGAGGAAGCTGTGCAGCAGTGGCAGAGTGGCAGACTCATCCTGCTTTCTTAACAATCCCTGCAGACAGAGCTGCTGCTCAGAGCTGTGCCCTGGCTCATGGAGAGGCAGCTGGGCTGGGACACATATCCTGCCTCTGGTGAAAACCAAAGTGCAAATACCTTTTCTGACTCCTTGTAGAGGTCTCCAGCCACTGTCAGCACGCTCAGCTGATGTGCTGCTATTGCCAGCTCAGCATAGACCTCTTCTTATAAGACACAAGCATTGTTTTTCAGTTCTCTTGGTGATTTGGCCATGGTGCTTATGAAATGGATGTTACAAAATAAAGGCCCCTGAAGGATATTCCCTACTGACAGCTCTGGGAAGCGACCTGTGGTGTAGGGGACAGATCACAAGGCAGAAGAATTTAATGAGAATTTAAGCAGTGGAGAAAAATAACTGTGCAAAGAGACAGACTTTTTCTTGTTTGATGTCTTCAGCTCATGATCAGAAGCTGTTTTGGAAGAGGAGCTTTATTTGGATATGTGATGAGGCTCTGCTCAAGGAGATTTAAATGAGATCTTTCTCACGATATGCCAGACAAAAAGCTGCATTTTTGAACTAAAAACCATAGGAAATAACATTAACTGTGATTTACAGCAAACCCTGTGCAAACCACATGTCCTTGGAGGGCTGAACTCTGTGTGCTATCTTTAGTTTCTTTCTAACAAACAAACAAACTTAAAAATCCATCCAATTCTGTATGATTCACTTTCTCCTGACTTTAGCCACCACACTCCAGAGTTAGCTGATTTGGAACAAGAAATCCTTCAATGAAGGAGAAAGAATTTATATGTGGCTGTTGTACATGGAAAAGTAAACATTTCAAGTGCCTCAAGCAGTTATGATTACACAGCTTATCTGTGCTCAGCGAGTTCATGGAGCTCTTGGCACCTTTTATCTATGCCACCAAGGACTGAGTTTGGGAGCTGAAATAACCTCCCAGAAAGCTCCTCCTGGCTGGTGTGGCTCACTTGTTCCCAGTGCCAGGGCATCATGTAGAGACCTCTTCTACATCAAGGCTACTGGGGGTCTCAGGCATGGCATGGCCTGGGAGCACCATGGGGAGACCTCGAACACACCTGGCACATCCCATACCCTGGTGGGGAGAGCCTCTCAGAGAGGGTGTGGGGGTATCTTTGCTCTCAGACGAAGGAAAGATTTGGGACTGTAAGCAGGGGGGTTGAGGATTATCCCAAGAGAGGGGTTTGGGGTTATGTGGCCGGGGAGCGAACGCTCTCCCTTGAGTAGCCAGCAGCGCAGCTGGAGGAGAAGCCCGTGCGTCACCAGGCTGCGTGTGACTTGTCACAGCAGGACACGTTACAAAACACCATCAGATGGAGTTACAAACAAAATGCCAGTGGTGTTAAAGAGCAGAGAGCACATGTCACCGGCTGGACACTCACAGGAGCGTGCCTGGGGCTCCTCTCCTGCCCCATCAGCTGCGGGCGGGCTGAGTGCCCCGCCAAGGGCACCAATGCTCCTTAGGGTCTGTGCTGACACGGCACAGCTCCTTTCATCCTGCGACCCCAGCACTGCTGCGCTGGGAAAATGGGAGCTGCTGCCTTTAAACAAAGCAGCTGTTTATTCTTGAAACAATTAGAGACAGCAGTTAGATCTTGAACTCGTTACTGAGCCCAAAACAATTATGATAAAAACAAGTTCCAGATGGGCTCAAAAGGAGTTGTTTTTGTCTTTACTGAATTAGAATGGATTCCGTGTCTTCAAGTTTCTCTGGTATTTATGGACAGGAAACATGAATTACACACAATAACTTACTACAAACAAAAGAGATGACTGCTGCAACAGCCCATTTATCTTTGCCCATGTGCCTTCTTGAGGTTTATGTGCTGTTTAACTCATGGGGAGAGTTAATAGCATTTTTCTGTTTTCTAACTCTGCAGTAACTGAGACAGGAAGCTGTTGAATTTATGCTGCAGGTTACTGTCACTGAGCCTGCAGATGCACAATGGGTAAATGTGGTCTGGCAAAGAGATACCACCATGTTCCAGCTCTTCCTTTGAAGGACTTGTGTAAAGGTTACAGTGGGGAGTCCTTCTAATTAGGTCCTCTGGCTGCTCCAAGAGCAGAGACCTTTTTCAAAGCCTCTCCAAAATGGACTGAAGTCTGGGCACCACACATATTTGTATGGGAACTTTGAGATTCTGACATCTTGGGTTTTGAAGCTGATGCTGCACACTGGCAGCAATTGAACAGACCCCAAAAGGAAGGGGAGCCCAGCAGATGGCAGGGTGCAATGGCACATCACTGTGCTACGTCTGCTTTCAGTCCCAGGCAGGGGCATGACATGGCAGGAGCAAATCAGTGAAAAAATTCCTGGGCAGTGTTTTTCTGGCAGTCCTTCTTACCTTCTTGCAGCTGAGACAGAGTTTGGCCTTGGAATTTTCCAGGCTTTTAGTTAGATTTCATGATTTTCATGATTTTAAATTTCATGATTTTATAAAAGGCCACATGTCAGTATCACTATGAAGGTGTGTGTGTGTGTGGACCCAAATATGTGGCTGGGCTGATGGGGACTTGGGGAAGGCCGTAATCCCAAAAACCTATAAACTGTGACACAGATTGTAACCAAGACTAAAGCTGCCCTGGGTGTTCTGTAGCACATGCAGTCAGCTTGGCTGAGCTCTGAGGGGAGTGAGATCATGGGCAGAAAGCAGCCCGGGAACTCAGGGTGACACTGGGATTTGTTTGGCCTCTCCCAGTGGGAGCTGGTGAGCTTCCTGAAGCATTTCATCCCTTCTCCCCCTTCTCCCATAAAGCTTAGAAAAAGAGGCCTTAAGCAGAAGCCTGGACAAGAAGAGTTCTCCAGTTTTAACTAGAAAAGAAGGGAAGAGGAAAAAATTGAGAAACTGATAATTGCTTTTTATTTTTTAGATTTTATGCAATATCTAATTTGTGCACAGTCATTCACAGAGAGTAAGTGGGATTGACTATTTGGGTTCCCATCTCTGTGGAGCTAGTGAGGGCCTCCTTCCAGCAGAAAGGCTCCCAATATTCATCTCCCAGACATGGTTCAAATAAGGAAAGGGCAGGAATCACAGTGCTTGAATTCAGTTTCTGTCTGGTGTCCATGTGCAGCAAGAGCAGATAGGAAACCTCTAATTCCCCAGCCAAAGGAACAGGATACTTATTAATTTATTTCATTTACTGACTCTCAGTTCTTCAACTCAGCTGCCCATTCTGCTGGGTTGGGAGCTCTGTGGCATGCTGGAGGGCTGAGCTGCAGCAGGGCAGCATTTGGGCTCAAACAGCCACATGAATAAGAGCAGCCCTTTGCAGAGCTCCTGGCTCAAGGAATCTCCCTGCAAGCTCAACTCTTCTCAGCTGCCAGAGCTCTCACACCCATCCCAGGTCCCACCAAAAACCCACACAGCCAAGCCTATTGACATTGCTGCAGTTTGGGGTCCAAGCTCCTCGCTCAGCTGCATTGCCAGGATCCCTAATGCAGCTCCTTCTCCTCCCCCAGCCACAGCAGAGGTTTCTCAGCACCTGAGGTGCTCTCAGGGCACTCAGGAGCCCGTGCTCTGCTCTGACAGACCCCACCAGTCCCTTCTCTGCTCCCCTCTCTCTTGCTTTAACCTCATCCCATCATCTTCCATCTGGGTCTTGGATTTCACCAAAGGGCAGGGTGGAGGTGGTGCAGGACACAAAGATTCCCTTCCCCTCAGTTATTTCATCTCCCATTAACTGAGGGTTTAAAGGGAAATCTCAGGGCTCATTAAGGCTCTGGTGACAGCTTAACCCTCTCCAGCACGAACCCAGCACCAGGCCCATTCCTCATCTGATTCCAGGCTGGCTGTAACACCAGACCCGACTGCTGAGCAGGGCAGCCAGGTCTGGAAAGCAGGACCAGGAGAGTGAAGGATCTCTAGAGGATTTCTGGAGGTGAGTGGCAGCTCCCGGTCACCCTCAGCATCCACTGGGATCAGCCACACATTTCTCGGTTTCTTCCAGCGACCTTGAGCCGCCTTGCCGGCCCGCTGCGATCTCGCACATCTTGGGGAGCGCCTGCTCCATCCGGGACAGGTTCCAACAGGAATTACTGAAAACCCCAAGCCCTTTGTGCCCTACTGAGGGCAAGACCCTTCTGATCAGCGAAGCAGCGGCAACACCCGGCTGAGGCAGCGGCACCGCCGCCCCTCTCCCTCCGAGCCTGCGGGGGAACAGCGCGCTGACAGCCCCGGCTCCCGGGGACACAGCTGAGCGCACCGCGGCTGCC